AACCACAATACTGATAAGTAATTAATAAAAGTCAAAAGACCAAAGAGGTCATCTTAATACCAAAAAAAAAAAAAAAAATGAGAATTGTTTATTTTTTTTTATTAAATTTGTTATTTACTATATACAAGGAGATTACAATATATTCATAATTAAAAAAAACTAATACTTTAAGCTTTTTTTAAAATGTTTACTTTAAACATTGCAATGCCAAATGCTAAACAATGCACTTACTGTGATAAGTTCAAACCAATTGCTGAATTTATGAGACAAAGTGAAAACAAAAGTAAAATATTTCAAAAATGCAATATCTGTGCAGACTATAAAAAACAAAATAAAAGAGATAAATGGCTTAAAACAAAACCATCTAATAATGACAATTCTCTATCTCTTTCTTTAAACTATAAAGAAGCACTATCCTTTTTTTTAGATTATGAGAACATACTAACCCTTTTCTTGAGCCATAAAAATATACTATCTCATTCATTTAGTCATGAAGATATGCTATCTTTTTCTTTAAGTTATAAAGATATACTATCTCTTATCTTGCATTTCAATAATACATCATCTTTTTTCTTGAGTCACAAAGATACACTATTCTTCTCTTTGAATCAAGAATTCTTTCTTTTAAGCTATAAAGATATACTTCCTTTGAGTTATAAAGATATACTATTTCTCCATTTAAGTCATAAAGATTAATCATTCTCTTCTATAAATAAAATAATATTATTTAATTCAGATAGTATTGAAAGCAATGAAGATGAAATAATTCACAATATATATGATCTTAAAAAGCTCATTGCTCTTAAATTTAGAAATAAGAAAGTAGAAAATCATGTTGAGTTCACTATAACAGTAAAAATTGAAGATGAATTAGTTAATGAAAAAAATTTAAGCTTGGAATTTAATAAGTATGTAGAAGATAAGAAATTTCATGCTATGATTAAATCATTACTTATACCTCTTCAAGCAGACTTTAGTTATTATTAGAAGCTTAGAAATCTATATTATAATAAAAAAAAATGGCTAGTACACAGGTTGTGCAACAGCTCATATTGGCTGTATACAAAGAACTGATCATTAAAATAAATGTCAAGACAAACAACTTGTAAAATGAATAAATAAAGCATGACTAGCCATTCAACATTACTTTTTTTTTTTTGGTATTAAGGTGACCTCTTTAGTCTTTTGACTTTTATTAATCACTTATCGGTATTATGGTTCAATGAACCAGTACAGGAGAGTGTACAATTGGCTACATATGTAACTTTTCTATATTACCTATTTAAAGAGTCCGCCCGAAGATTTTTTACCAATTGCTGTACCTAACACCTCTGCTTGGGTGTTTTACTTTAAACTCTCTGAATCTGTAATCTGTGTTAATATCACTAGTCATCTCAGATGTACCAGATCATCATCTTCAACCTTAGGACTAATTTATTCTACGGTAAACCTTTCAGAGCCTTCTGTACCCATTTTTACAGCTAATCTAGGTATTGCTATGGCAGAACCAACACTTGTGGTCAGGGCTAACCATTAAATTACTATGCCCTTGTAGAGTTCACTTAGACCTCAGCATCTACTTCACAGCATAACTCTGGTACTTTAGTATACTCCTGCCTTTTTACCTACCCTTTTACCAGACTCCCAATTCAGATAGCCTGTGTAGGACTATGACCAGTCCATCAGTATATTAGGTCGGCCCAATATTCTTTTCCTCCAGTT